AACCAAACAGAAATGATGGAAATATTGACCAATGCACAAAATTATGAATTTATATGTATATTATTTTGCACAACAGGTCATTCTAAATTATCCATTACAACCACAATTAAGAAGATAAAACGTGCTGCATAGTATAAACGATTTAAGAATGAATGTAATCATAACCCCATTTTTGACAATGCTGTCCAATTGTCAAAAATGTTTACAAACAGCAAAAGTTATTTTATTTCCAAAAATGCAGTTCTGTTTATTTATTGGAACATTAGAAACTGCAGCTATGTTCTATAAAATGTGCAAAACTTTCACACTGGCACTTAGCCACAAATTTCCTCATTAATACCACATCCTTTTCAGTTCCCAGTAGAGTTTAATTCAAGCTTATATCCTTCTTACTCTCTCTGCAGATGTTGTACTGCACCTGACAGACCGAAAGCACCTCGTTGTCTTCCACAGAGGTCGCTACTTCCAAGTGTATTTGTATACCGGGGGGCGTCACCTCTTACCCAGCGAACTGGAGAACCAGTTTCAACAGATTCTCAATGATACGTCAGAACCCCTGCCAGGAGAACTGAAACTAGCTGCCCTCACTGCAGGAGACAGGCATGCGCAAACACACATTTTCACAGCATACTAAAACCCTCTGACCTGCTAAAGACATGATTCCTACTCTTTCTTACTTTGTTTTCCAGAGTACCTTGGGCACGGACTCGGCTTAAATACTTTAGCCAGGGACAGAACAAGGAATCCCTGGATACCATTGAGTCTGCCTCATTCTTCCTGACATTCGATGAGGAGCCACAGGGTTATGATCCAGGAAAGGTTTCCTCATTTGATAATTATGCCAAATCCCTAATGCATGGCAAATGTTACGACAGGTAGGCAGAGACGACAGGGGAAGACATCCGCTCTCAACTTCAATTAAAATGGTCACTTTCATAATGTTTTCTGAAAAAAAAAAAGAACATTCTTGTCATGTCTTACAGGTGGTTCGACAAGTCTTTCAACTTAATTTCATATCCAAATGGAAAGATGGGAGTCAATGTTGAGCACTCTTGGGCTGATGCACCCATTGTTGGACACATGTGGGAGGTATAAACAGTATTTTAGTCTTAAAAACAAAGATAATTAAAATTTCTTAGCAATTCCTAAGATGTTATTTGTGTGTTTGTAGTACGTTCTTGCAAAAGACTTCTTTCATCTTGGCTACACAGAAGAGGGACATTGTAAAGGGGAAATGAACAGGGGCCTTCCCTCTCCCACTCGATTAAAGTGGGAGATTCCAGCACAGGTACAGTAAACTTCACTAATTAAATGTAACCGATTACTAATTGCTATTTATTTGCTGTGTTTTCTCCTATTTCAGTGCCAAGATGTCATTCATGCTTCATACTTGTTAGCCAGACACCTAGCTAATGATGTGGACTTCCATGGCCATCTGTTCACTAAGTTTGGCAAAGGCCTGATCAAGAAGTGCAGGACGAGCCCTGATGCCTTCATTCAGCTGGCTCTGCAGCTCGCACAGTTCAGGGTCGGTCAGGCATCAATCACTCGCATCTTTTTTTTCTTGAATATTGGCTTCATCAATCCAATTTTTTTTCCCCGTAGGATCAAGGTGTGTTCTGTCTGACATACGAGTCATCAATGACCCGTATGTTCAGAGACGGGCGGACTGAGACGGTGCGCTCCTGCACCTCTGAGGCTGTTGCTTTTGTCCGGGCCATGGAGGATGCAGATGCAACAGTAAGGAAAACAAACACACACTCAATGAAAACTCACCAGATCAACCAGGTCACCCATTGAAATCCACATTAATAAATTCTAACATGCTAAAACATTTGTAAAATGTAGAGGTAAATGAACAGAGATGAATTTCTAAATACATTTATAACTACCTTTAATGACTTTATTATATATGTTAATTTTATGAATATGAATTGTGTTTCTTTTTGCCTTTTTAGTTGCATTTATGATTTTCTAAATACAGAGATGCACGTGTCTTTATTTTTAAATTTTTTCCAGAATAGTTTAATTTAACAAATGTAAATTATTATTATCATCCTGTGTACATGTTTGTTTTTATGTAAAATGTTACTCTGTGAGGGGTTCTGGAGGATCCAGATGCAACAGTAGGGTCAAAGTCACTAAGACAATGTGAATAAACTTAAATGCCATGTCAGTGGGTTAAACTGACATGGCACGTCTTGTGACTTTATGACTTTATTATATTATAAAGTCATAAGAACATCCAGTTCTTGATATGCACTGTTTTTGTTTTTGTGTACATGTTTTTGTGTACATGTCAGAATAAGCAAAAATGATGACGTAATTTCCTGAGTACCTGCTAATGTCTGTGAGCAGAACGCCCAGAGACTTGCACTGTTCCGGACAGCAGCAGACAAGCACCAGAACATGTATCGTCTGGCCATGACTGGTTCCGGTATCGATCGGCATCTCTTCTGCCTTTACATAGTATCTAAATATCTCGATGTTAAATCACCATTTCTTGAGAAGGTTAGAGATACAGTCAAATCATTTTCACTTTGTTGGATACTTCCATATGACTTATCAGGTCTCCTTTCCATCCCAAAACCTTCAGGCGCTTTCCGAGCCGTGGAAGCTGTCCACCAGCCAGACTCCTCAGCAGCAGATTAATTTAGTTGATATCAAAAAGTTTCCAAATTTTGTGGGTGCAGGAGGTGGATTTGGACCTGTGAGTGTTCTCGGTCAAAATCTTATAATTAAAACAGTTTAGTATCTTATATAATTGTGTCTCTTATACACTCTCAGGTGGCGGATGATGGGTATGGTGTTTCTTATATCATTGTTGGGGAAAATCTCATTACATTCCACATCTCCAGCAAATTCTCCAGGCATAACACAGTAAGTACTTGATGTTTTCCACCCACCTGTAGAGTCCTCATCATGTTTCTCCGACTCTAATAGTCTTTTCTCTCTCTTTTCTTTCACTCTGTTTGAAACTGCAGGACTCCGCTCGGTTTGGTCAGCACATTCGGAAAGCCATGATTGATATCCACACTCTTTTCAAACAAGAAAATGATAAGCTCCTGGTGGAGAATGGAAAGGATGTGCATTTGGAAAATAATAAAAAGAACATGTAGGACTCTGTGGGGAGATGTTTTGTTGGTGTCCTTCCATCAGCTAAAAGAATTGCACTTTTATTTGCGCTTTTCTGGAGAGCCACATCACAGGAGATGGGCATTCCACTCTCAAAGAGAACGGTTATCACTCCTCTAATTTATTTCTGTTTTACATGCTTGAGTTGCTGTACATTCTAATTTAATGATGGGATTTTTATTACACCTCCTTTTTTCCTTGTCAGTGGATGCTGACCATAAATCTAGTCCAATCTGATGTAAAAAAAAATAAATAAATGAGTAAAAACAAAGACACAAGAGTGTTTGTTGGATGTTATCGGTTCTTATAATACTAAATAGGTTTGTTTTTTCTGGGTAAAATACTGAGAAATTACACTTTTTTGAGAATTTTCTGTGAAAATAAGTGAGGCTTATTCAATAAAGAACGTGTTCGGTATGTATCTGTCTTTGTAGCTCAATTTTAGGAACCATGGAACATTTATTTAGATTTAAACATAAAAATAAATAAGGGATAAGACAAAAGTTATTTTATTTTTGCCTGCTGTTTTCTGGGTTTGAATAACTTGCTTTAAAAAAATTTACATCCCATTTTCACATCAGTAAGTAAGAACAATTTGTGAACACTCAAGTTTGAGAAAAATCTAACTTGATTTGACTGAAGAAGATCTATAGGCAAAAAAATATAAAGGAATCATAGGATATCTTTGGTTTTCTATATCCACTGACATACAAAACACTGAACTAACCTATAAAAAAACAATATCCATTATCAATCAGGTTTGCAAAAAGAGCGTCAACCTTGTGTTGAGTGTAAAGGCTTCAGCCTCATTACTTTTCAGATTGCCAACATTTCTCCATCAAAAGGACATTTATTGGTCATATTTAATCACATTTTTACGTTACAGAATTTTGGTTTTCATTGGCTACAAGTCAGAATCGTCAAAATTAACAGGAATAAATGCTTGCATTACACCAGCCTGTCTAATGGATCGACAGGCATTTACGATTTTGAAATACATCAGTATTTTAGTTATATTCTAAATTATTGAGGTGCCCCTTTTCCTGCATGTTAAGGTACTAAGTTATTGCAAAAAAATAAAATAAAATATTCAGTTATCCCAGTTAGTGTCAGCCTCATTAATAATTTGGGGTAAGACCAAACAAACTGTGGTGGTATGTAATTATACTGTGTGCTATGTGGATGTTGTGGCGTCCTATTGACATGTTTTCACGCATTTATCTGTATTTGTTTTTACTGTCTGCAAAGCAATTTGCCCTGTAGGGACAACAAAGTTGATCTAAACTAATTAAATTAGAAGTGACAAATTATCAGTTTGTCTCTTCCCAGCTGACAGCCATAATACACCCCTTTAAAAAAAAAAAAAAGCAAATCCTACATTTTATTTTTTTTTTTTACCTGAAATTTAAAAAACACGGAAGAGCAAAGTTTTATAAAACATTTATTGTAAGGGGTGGTGTAGAGATTACAACTTGTTTCTAACATTTTTCGACGCCATCCAGATTATTTTCATCTATAGAAGAAAGAAAAACTTCAACCGGCGGGAGGCTTCATTGTCAGTTTGCTTTTATCACATCACCTGGCATCATCAACGTACCATGCAGACGCCAAAAATAAACCGATCGAGTTCACTAGGTGGATGACCCGAGACACTCCGTTTTCAAAAGATATTTTTGACATTTACAATGGAAAACTACATCATATTTATGTAATTATGATGCTACATTTGGAATGAAGAATCTCTTCTTAATGTCTTAAAAAAATAATCTTTAAACATATGAGAAAGCACAATGGTGCAGCTAGAACTAAATCAGCTTGATTTGTTTCAATCGCATGAGAGCAGCTCCCAAGTAGCAGAAATCAACTATCTTCTATATGAGTATTTATTAGCATATGTGGGGACGATACAAAAGTAATAATGATAAAAAAAGGAAATTCAGGTTGTGTGTTTTGAGGCATCAGGAACAGCAATGAACTAAAACTAGGCCTTTAAACTGTACAAAGCAAAAGACAAACAAAAACACCAAAACACAGTGTGCCTGTTTGAAGAGAGCAGTTTTAAGAGACAAAAGAGGCAACGGACTCCAGACTTTCAAAGATTCAAAATGAATCAACAGATTATTGTCTTCATTACCACTCTCAGAAGCTGCCAGCCAATCAAGCACATTAAACAATACAGCCAAACAGAGCAAATGGATTATGAGTATGTCCTAGTTCTTGCCAATTTCTTTTCAAGGGGCAGCTGCAGCTTGAGTCCACTGGGTGGTGCCATACCCTTGAGAGGCCACTGTGTGGGGCTGTTTCCACGTTGATGCACGCCAACCCAGTCTTTGTTGTGTTTTTATTTTACTATCTTGTGTAAATTTGTCAACACCCTACGATGGTTTTGTAGTTTATAGGTCTAAAAAAACTCTCGACAGAGGTTTTGGGGTTTCAGGTCTGTGAGGCAGCAAGTCGAGGATTAAGAGGTTGCGCCGGGTGTTGGGTTGACATTCTGCGTGGCTGCTTGCGGTGCCACCTCAATGATTCGTGGCTTGTCGATAATGCGAGCGGTGCGGTTTCCTTTCTCTACAATCCCGATGATCCAAGCTTGGTGGCCCTCTCCATACTTTGGAGATTTGATCTCGGCGCAGAAGCGGGCAGCCTGCTCCCGGGGCAAACAGATGAGCAGGCCTCCTTTGAATGGAAAGAACAAGGAATCGGTCAGTTTCTTTTTGTGCGCGTGATGGAACTGGTCCGCATCTCTCAGTACAAATCTGAGAAATGCACTCTGTTGTTTGTTTGTAACATATTCTGGAAAACACTTATCATAGGAAAAATGTTAAAAAACGGCAAAGAAAGTCTGGTGAGGTGTATTCCAACACCAAAGAACTGCAATAATGTTAGGTTATAATGAGAGCAAAAAGAAGGCAGCAGAAAATGGCACATCAATGTCTACTAAAGTTTTTAAAACTATTGCAAATACAGTAAATGCAAAATCAGCCTTAAACAACTCCACCAGACATGGTTCATTTTCTGTCATGTTTGTTAAGATTTTTAAAATTTCTAAAAAGGACCAATATAAACTTAAAAAAACTGCAATATGAAGTTTAATGATGCCAAATTGTTTTTATGTTCTGTGGAGTATAAGGTAAAACAGAGCTGTCCCTCCCACACCTGTTGCTATCCATAGGTGGCCAGATGAACGGCTACAATTTAACTTTCTTACAAGAGACAAATATGGCTGTTTAAATTTCAGAAATTTTAAGTTTTAACATTTTGGAAAACGGAATACATGACGCTTTTGCCCATTTCCAATCGTTTGATGTCTTTTAAATAAGACATCAAATGAAACCTGATGATGATAAAGTTAAAAGTGATTTGCTGAAAATATTATGTGTTGCTGAAGGTCTGTCTCATTTGCTTATAGATATACAAATAAAAGTTTTTATTATCCTACTTTCCTAGAGTGCAGAGAGATTATTTTATGTTTGTTTACTATAGACTCCATCCTGTTTGATCAAAGCTCAGAACTTTCTGACTTTGCTTACTCCTCCAACTCCATATAAACAAACATTATTAGCAGGATTTTATAAAGTTAAGGTTGTTAATGTAAGAACCACATCAACACAGACCTGATGTTTCAGGGCAGGTGCCATGCATGAGTCCAAACATGTTCCCGCAGGCTTTGGACACGGCGGCCATCTTGGCGAGCACTGGGAGGTTGTGGATGACGAAGGAAACCTCGCTCCGCTGCTGTCGTGCCAGCGTCTGAGCGTGGCCGAGGATGCCGAACCCTGTGATGTCGGTGGCTGCGTGTGCGTTAAAGGTGTGCATGAGGCCAGCAGCTAAGAAGGACGACAGAGAGGATGTTCAGATGAATAATCATTTGTCCCTTTTCCCCTGAATCTGAGTGAGGCTCATCCTCACTCTACTCCACATTGACCCTGTTGTGTGTCCATTGAAAAGCTGACAGCTGAAGATCTCCAGTGTACCACTCTACAGGTGGATATTAATTGCAGTGTGCCGCCGGTGTGTAATTCAAAAACTTAAAATGCAAAATTATACTTTCACTGTGATTCTAAATATCATTGTAGTCGCTCTTGAGTTTTATTAACCTTTCCTTGCACTACCTCAGTGAAACCTTCACATTTTCCTCTCCCCTTGGCAAATCAGTGAGCAGCAATCTGATCACACAAGATTTCAAATGTATCATGCATGAATGATGGGTTTACCTGTACGGTTGAGCCGGGCCATGTTCAACATTGCTTCGTGGTAGGCCAACTCTACGTCTTCCTGGGTTACTACCAGCTTGATTTTGTTCCACTTCTCAGGCTAAATGTTGAAGAAAGCAAATAGGAAAGTCTGTCATGAAATAGCAGAAGGCATCCCAAGACAAAAAGGCAAAAAATACAATTAGAAAGACTTACAATGTCTAGCCACTGGTGCACTGCGACAGCCACTTGGGTCCCTAACGGTTTGGTCAACACCAACACGTCCCCAGGCACTGCGTTATCAGGCCTAAAAGACATCAGACATGACATTGTCATGGGGTTTGTTCTTCTAATAGAGATTGAAAAGTCAAAGGGAATAAATATGTAACAGAAAGTTATTCCTACATGATGAATTCGTTGGGTTGACACACTGTTGTAGCAACTCCTCCCATTACCACCCAGGGGTTAACCACCGTTTGTCCCCCTGTGACAGACGTGCCGGCCTCCTCTGAAGCATCCTTGAATCCCTGAATGATCAGTGGCATGACTTTGTCTCTTTCCTGCAAACACACACACATTTGAGCAAGTGTAAAAGACACACATGAAGAATGGATGCTTTAAGTCTCCCAGTTCCATCAAATTATCTCCCTAAAAGAATCAGAGCAATAGCACAGAAATTGTATGCTGTACAATCTTTTGCAACTTCCCTGACTCATGGAGTCAGGATATTATTAAATATTTTATGTCTCAAGTAAAAAAAGAAAAAGTAACCTCTTGGACTTCAGCAGGTGTTGCCACCATCACATAACCTGAACTTCTCAGAAGAGCAAAGCGTTTGAACTGATTTACAAAAACGACTAATTGTTTATTTTTTGTGAGACAGTAGTTATACTGTCTCACCAAATAAAAAACTTATCTTACTTTTTCTGACATCTTATTGCTGACTCCCAGAAGCATCAACATGTTGTCACACTCTGTCACTCCCATGGCATACAGGTCACTTAGAACATTGGCACAAGCAATTCTTCCCTACAAAGCAGAAACAAATTAATCACAGTCTGTGTGGCAAAGAGACAGAAGTGCCCAAAAGGATTCACACCTCTTGACCCCTTGTTTCACATTTTGTAATGTTTCATATTCACAGATTGTTCATATCACAATTCATAAATACAAATGCTCCAAATTAATTTATGGCAGATAGTTCATCAATAATGCAAACAGATTTATGTATGGGTGAACCAATACAACCTTAAGGCAATAAAATAGGGAAGAAAGTCTGGAAATGGGAATATTTTTAAGCATAGATAGCAATCCAGTATTAACAACTGCAGACAAAAGAGAAACTCAAGTAAAAAGGAGAACTGTTACCATCATGTAGGGGTCGTCGACAATTGGATAGATGTAATCTGTTGTCTGAACAAGAGAAAGTCCACCATGTCTGAGAGGGATCACACATGTGTCCATGCCTATTCCTTTAAAACAAACAGAAATCTTAGCAAAGAGTAAAAGCGCAAATAGTCCTTACCAATGGCATGTAGTTACAAAATAAAACCTAGTTTTCGCAGCAGTACAAGCAAATTCATTTCACTTGTAGAAATGAATTTGTAACCTTAATTAGGGTTAATGCAGTCAGTTTGGCTTTAAATAAGGGTCAGCACTCTCAGCTGATTGAGTATTTTTTGTGTAATCAAAGTTACCCAAAGAACAAGCTGAAGCTATCAGTGCAACTGCAGGAGTGTCGAACATGAGTGTAAGTTAATAACTTAGGTCAGACACATGACGAGGCCTCAGTTTGAAAACTCATTCATTCCAGCTGGCAAGTCCAAGCTTTTACTTTACCATGTTTGCTGCCACGGCACTAAAATAAGGTAATTATTACCTAATCGAGGCATAACTGCCCCCAAGAACTGTTCATCCTCTTGATAGTGGTTCTCCTGTAAGGCCTCGAGCAACTTCTGTAAAACCTCCTGAGGGACCTAAAACCAGTGGAAAAACAGCGGCAACATTTTTTTAGATGCCATTAGTAAATATTTTAATCAGAAAACGTCAGATTTTGATTCGGACAACCAACCTTACACCCTGTCCCCTTCAGCTCAGCGAAGCGCGTGAGCCTGAAGTTCTTGTCCAGCTCATAGCTTTCGGGGTTAAAAGACTCCCTCACAGACATTTCTGATGGAGCTCCGGATCCTCACCACTAAAAAAAACAGACCAACGAAAAGAGGGAATGATGTAAAACACTTATATGTCACAAGAAAACTAGGAGGGAATCAAAGAGGTTGCATTACAAAAGAAACTTATTTTGCACATATGGCAAATAACACCAGGTTGATCAAAAAGCAAACTGATACTAGACTTTTACATACACTCACCGGACACTTTATTAGGTACACGTGTGGAATTACTTGCTAACATACAAGAATAGGTCAACAACATGCCAGCAACTGTGGTGGTGAGAACCTGCTGACGTTCAAACTGAGCATCAGAAAAAGGAGAAAAGGGATCAGACTGGTTTGAGATGATAGAAAGGCAACAGTAAATAATAGAACAACTCGCTACAGTCAAGGCACACAGAATATTATCTTCTAATGCATAACGTGTCAAATCTGGAAACAATAGAAGACCAAGCCAGATGTCACCCATGTCTGCTGAGAACAGGAAACTGAGGCATAAAGGGGCCCCATAGAAACCTTCCTCAGTATTATTGCTCACCATGTCTATCCATTTATGATCCCAGTGTACTCACCTAATAAAGTTACATCCATCTGTCATAATGTCAAAAAAACTCTAATCATTTCAAACTGGCTTCTTGAACATGGTAGTAACTTCACTGTACTCCAGTACTTTGTATCTTTCTATGGAGCCATTTGTGTCTTTAATAAAGCTGATGATGAAGATTTTGTACAATAGATTATTATTGGCAGTGTTGGAATCAGATTTACATTATGGATATGCAGCAGACAAATATACAGCAACGACTTGATGTTACCAAGTCACTTTGACCCAAAATCTCTGACAAATATTTGACACCTTTTTGACTCTATACAGTAACAAGTTGAGGCAGTTCTGAATGCAAAATGAGTCCAACCACTTACTAGTAAAGTACCTGATAAAGTGGCCAGCGAGTGCAGTTTTGACCTTTCCAACTGCCTTTAAAATAAAACGATTAAAAAAATATAAGCTTACTGTCTCCAATGTGCCCATTAGACAGTTATGTTGTCTCATACTGTATGACTAGATTGAGAGAGCATGTTTCACTATGATTTATATATTTTTGTACGAGTTAACAGATTTTCCAAACTGTCCAATACACACTGAAAATAACAAACCATGAAGTGAATAATTCAGAACAGCACTCATGTTTTATCATTTGTGTCCATTTACATAAACAACAAAGGAATCTTATCTCCTCACCTCATGATTCATGTGGTTACTACTACCTGCTCTCCATTCACCTGTTCTAATTTAACGCTGGGAGGTTTTTATTTCAATACATTAACCTGCATTTTATAGATTGACTCAGATGGAGTCAATCCACAAAAGCTTTTTCATTTTAAAATTGTTAACCAAGTATCAAAGCCAAACATCATCACATCTATGGGAACTGAATATTTAGTTCGTATCCGATCAAAAGAACTAAAAGTAATGAACGTGTATATGCCGTGGTTATAACTGTGCCATCCAGCATATTCGCAGTTTATTGTGCAAACTGGGGTTGCAGAAGGGGACCACAATGCATAAGATGAGTCCATGTTCATTCAAGCCCTGAGGATCAGGCTGACAATACCAGTAATGTCTCCTGAAAACGTCTGTTCGCTGTACTGTAAGACACACGGCAGCCTATTTATAAAATCAGACTTTGAGACAAATCAATCTGCAGAGACAACTGCACTCTCAACGTTTGTTTTAGCTGAAAACGCAGCTTAGATTTTCTGCTAGCTGTGGCTAGCCGATCCATGCATGCGGCAATGAGCTGAGGCTGCAACCTGCAACAAAGAGCCTCTGGAGACCCGATATGCTAGCCGTGCTGCCTCTGAGCGCAAACATCGTGCACATTTCTACTTAACCCTGATTTACAGTGTAGAACCATAGCCCCGGCTGCTTGTACTTGCAAGTTAAAAAGTTGCGGCAGGGCGCCTAACAAAAATGTCGGCGGCGGAAAAAATTAACCCTTTCCTCTCCCTCGCCATGCGATGTGTGCAACATCAGAGTTAGTATTAGCTCTAAATCGCTAAAGGTGGTGCTAATGCAAACACCGTAATGAGACTGTATAATACAAGTGTACAGAATGAGCCTATGAGCAAATTTAAGAGCCAAACCGGATTAGATTCTTGCAACATTTCCCCTTTAATTGGTCTGAGCAGTTTATCCTTACCAGCTTCGGGTTAGCGGTGGATCCTGACACAAGAGCGGGGACTGCAACAGAACGCACCAGGGCTACATTTAGGCGACCTCTTCGAAAGCCTGACTAGAAATCATAAATTATTGTCTTTTAACTATTGTATAGAGGACAAAATAATTGTTAGAATTTAAAAGTAAATGCAAATCAAATAAGATTATTTATAAGGAATTTGTGCTGGTGCTATTATGTAAAAACATGGGCCTAATTTAACGTGGAAACTAACTAGATAACAAAGGGTCCTCTGTTTGCACGGTGGCTTCTTTCACATCCCCTTTAATGATTCCAAAAGTCTGCCAACAAAATTGTTACAATGGAGTGTACCTTTAATTTGTGTTTTCCCTCCTTTTACATCCAACAAAACATTTTCTTTATAAACGTCCATTTAAATAACAGAAGAAAAGGTTGATAGACAACAAATGCCATATTTTTGTCGAATATATGAAGAATAGGTTTGATTACATTTTAATAAACTGTGCCTTTTAATAGTATTAATAAACATGAAATTTCAACACACTTCAATTAATGTGGATTTTTACTAAAAATAACAACAGGAAGTATAACTGTCAAAATTTGGAAAATGTGTAAAGTTTTCACTTTATTTTACAAAAGAAAATATGAAAAAAAAAATTTCTATTCAGCTGCCCCATAGTTAATGTTTTGTAGAACTAGCTTTTTAAAACAATTACATTGTTTTAATTTAATTAAACAGATTGGATGGTGAGAGACCGTGAACATCAACTGTCAAGTCTTACAGCAGAAACCTTAGTTCAAGTTAGGTCTGACCTTTGGCTGATTATTCTAACATGAATACATGTTCATGTAACTCATTTAGTTGTAGCTATTGCTGCATGTTTAGAGCTGTTAAAGGTGGTCGCAGCCTTTTTTGCGCCCTGGGTGAACAACCCCACCGGCACCCCCAACCCACTCCCAAAAAGCAAACAAAACTATATAGCATTTTGGTGCCAAATGATTCATCATGCGGGTATTCTGAAGGCTATATGAAGTATTAGGTTTCCATAACAGACAGCATTTTGAATGTAGGCCAAGAAAATTCAATTTTGAACTCTTGTCACTAGAGCAACTATCATGGTTGTTTTTATCTTACTTCACTTGTGGATAACTTTAAACAGCTTGATTTTTCCAATCATTGGTGGCTACATGTTGTCCTTTTCCAGGGGTAAGATGTGAGATTTATAAGTGATTGTCTTTCTGACCTGCAGTAGAAGCTGTTATAGTCATCAGCCAGAAGATAGTTAAAGTGGAGGGAGATTTGTTCCTGTAGGTGGTGATGTGATGTAATCCTCTTCCATAGTCCAACACAGTTTCCTCAGATGAAGTAAACCATAATTTGCTTTATGTGGAAAAATTCTTGGTCTGTACACACATCCTCCTGATGGTTCTTCATGGAATTTGGTGGGTTCAAGTCTTGGCTGAAGAAATTAAAGTCTTCTTTCCCATGTGCAATTTAAATCATGCTGATCACCTTAATTAAAGAAAATAAATTAATTTTGGAAAATGTATTTATTGGTGGATACAGTGATAACCGTTTTATGTAGAGTGAAATCTATTTAACCCTCTCAGGCTCAAATTACTTGCAAAGGCTAGCTAAGTAGCACTGAGCAGCTGCAAATCTGCAACATCTGCCTGGAGAGGGTTAAAGAAAACAATGTATTTGTTTGGACAATATTAAAAAGATCTGCCTTGAAAACCATGTGTTAAGGTTTCAGTAATAATAATTTTTTTAAAAAACAGACGGACCATGACATCTTTATTCATTTATTCAGATAAAATTCCATTAGTCTATTTTTAATTCCAAAAATGTACTAAAAATACATCACATTTAAATACTATGCTTTACAAACAAGGTGGATGATGCACTGCACATTACACCCACTGAAGTATTGGTCACTTAAAAGGCACAATTCACAATAGAAAACATCTTAAAAGATATGGTCTCTTGACAATAAATGTATAACATTTTATATATACTTTGTATTTTTCATTTCTTATCCTTTTTAGAACCAGTAATAAAAACAGATGAAAGTCTTTTTCATTTCTATGGTTTTAACTGCAGGTCATTTTTCAGTTTTCTTTACCTCTTCTGTATATTGACTCAGCAGGTGGTTTAGTCTGTGCCTGGATGTAAACCCCAGAAGGCACATATGTACAATGTGTAATTTATTGATAGCAGATAATCACTTTGATCATTCTGTTACCTTTTGTTGTGCAGTTCAAATTGTTGATCACTAATATAAAGGGGGACAAATGAATAAAGCCAGAAAAATATTAAAGATAAACTGATCTTCTGCCAGGCAATAGTGGCAGCTGATGAAATCAGCCATGTTTAACCATTTCTGCTCATCACTTTCAAGCCTGTTAAAAATAAAACCCTGTAGAGAAAAGACAAAAAACAAATTAATATGCTTTATAATATTTCTGAAAAAGAAATCTGTGTAAACATGAGCAGCAGTTCTGAAACTAAGAAAGCTATGGGTACAATATAGAGGGAATATTATGCATATTGAGAATATAATTAGCTGACATTTTACAAAGCTGCATGGAAATGTCAAATGTCATGGAAGGAAGATGGCAAAGACTTGTGAGTTAACGAAGGAGACCAGGAATAGTAATTTGTGAATGTGTTATGACAGTAAATGAGATCAAGTTAAAGCTATTGTTTGCTCACAATGTGCCTGAGCAAACAAATTATGCAATTGTAACAACATTTGAAGGTACAAAATGGATGAAATCAGTGACATCATCACCTGCTGTAAATATGTGTGTGAAAGCCAGGCAGTTGTATGCAGATTCATGTGAGGTTAGTACTTGTAGATGCTTCATTTGAGTTTTCCTCAGCATCTGTAGCATCTGTTGAGACAAGAACAAAAGTGATTGGTATACTTTACCTTCACTTGAATACTGGGAGTCTACAATAAATATTTTTCTTGAAGTATTACTGAAATTTATTATTATTGTATGTTGTGAACAGTACAATGAAAAAATATTTTTACTCAGGTTTCTTCTGAGTTTTGCTTTTTTTTGTCTATTGAAATGTTTCAGATGATCAAGCTTTCCAGAAACATCTTGAGGATTTGTAGAATGCTGAGACAGTGGAAAGGATCTGGTTCTGTAAGAGTCAGTGTAAAACTAACAGCATTACAGAAAATAAAATCAAGCTTTAACAAAAATTGTAGTGGCCTACAAAAGTAAAACTCTGTGGATGGATCTGGATGACTTGTGGTAACTGGTGAAACCATGAATTCTCTGGTCAACCAGAAAATCGTGAATCCGCTGCTGCAGACACGCATTAATGCATCAGTACAGTGATACCAATCACACAAGCAAATTCACATCTGAATAGCTCAAAATAACCAAATTGAAACTTTGACAGTTTTTTCTTCAAATGTGATGACACGGAATGACCATAAAATGTTGTAATTCATTGGTCTTTGTGTTAAGATTATTATTTTGATTTTGAGGCATTGTTATTTTGGGATTTTTCTCTCACTAAGTCTTCAGTTATTTATTGGGTAATTAATTCAGTTCCCATGTCACTAATCACCTCTTGAGCAGATTGAGTCCCATGCGCTTCTTTAATTTTTTTACAGGAAATTCTGCAGTACTCCCATGTACCAGTTCCTTTCAATTTTTTTCTCTCTATGTTTCTTCCTCTGCTTCTTGTGAGTTTTTGGACGTTTTTCATGAAACACTCTTATTTGCAAATAGTCTATCTGCCTACATGAAAGAAGAAAATGAGGGAAAATACTTTTTCTTGATATTATTTTGGTGGCAAGCTAAGTGTGTACATGAATGGGTCAATGACTGAGTGTAGCGCAAAGCATTTTGGGGTCCTCTGGATTTGATGCAGTGCTCTACAAGAGGCCATTTACCATTTATTTGCATTAAAAAACAATGTCAATGACAGAATACCTCGTTTCAGCCTTCTTCTGGCAAGTTTGATCTGATCTTGAAGGATCTGTACCCAGTCTCGTGGTCCAGGCAACTTCTCTATTCTGTGTTCAGTGCAGTATTTCTCTGTGAATACTAGACACAAATTACAGAAAAATATAGAAACAAATTGTGCTTTCTATTGTAACTCCTTTTGACACACTGACACACTGTGACACACTATGACACACTATGACACACATTATAATATACTATGACACACTATGACACACTGTGACACACTATGACACACTATGACACACAATGACACACTGTGACACATTATGACACACTGTGACACACTATGACACACTGTGACACACTATGACACACTATGACACACTATGACACACAATGACACACTGTGACACACAATGACACACTGTGACACATTATGACACACTGTGACACACTATGACACACTGTGACACACTATGACACACTATGACACACTTTGACACACTATGACACACTATGACACACTGTGACACACTGTGACACACTGTGACACACTATGACACACTATGACACACTATGACACACTGTGACACACTGTGACACACTGTGACACACTATGACACACTATGACACACTATGACACACTGTGACACACTGTGACACACTGACACACTGTGACACACTGTGACACACAATGACACACTGTGACACACTATGACACACTATGACACACTATGACACACTATGACACACTGTGACACACTATGACACACTGTGACACACTATGACACACTGTGACACACTGTGACACACTATGACACACTATGACACACTATGACACACTGTGACACACTGTGACACACTGACACACTGTGACACACTGACACACTGTGACACACTTTGACACACTGTGACACACTATGACACAGTGTGAAACACTATGACACACTATGACACAGTGTGAAATACTATGACACACTATGACACACTTTGACACACTATGACACACTATGACACACTATGACACAGTGTCATAGTGTGTCACACTATGACACACTTTGACACACTATGACATATAGCAATGACCCCTCCCTTTTTTATTTTTCTTTTTTTTTCAGCCTTACAACTATGACACACTATGACACACTGTGACACACTTTGACACACTATGACACAATTGACACACTGTGACACACTGTGACACACTGTGACACACTATGACACACCGTGACACACACTATAATATACTATGACACACTTTGACACACTATGACACACTGTGACACACTGTGACACACTGTGACACACTATGACACACCGTGACACACACTATAATATACTATGACACACTATGACACACTTTGACACACTGTGACACACTTTGACACACTGTGACACACTATGACACACTATGACATACTGTGACACACTGTGACACACTATGATACACACTATAATATACTATGACACACTATGACACACTGTGACACACTATGACACACTGTGACACACTATGACACACTATGACACACTTTGACACACTGTGACACACTATGACACACTGTGACACACTATGACACACTGTGACACACTGTGACACACTATGACACACTATGACACACTTTGACACACTGTGACACACTATGACACACTGTGACACACTATGACACATGACACACTATGACACACTGTGACACACTGTGACACACTATGACACACTGTGACACACACTGACACACTACACACACACACTGTGACACACTATGACACACTGTGACACACTATGACACACTGTGACACACTATGACACACTATGTATTTGACCCTCACCTTTAATAGCACCCACAATGTTCTGGTCCAAGCCCTTACGGTTGTCATTGAGCCCTCGCTTTCTTTTGCCATTTGGCAGAGAATTGGCCAAAGTAGCATCATCAAAGAAGGCACACACCTAAAAACACAGTACAGCTTTTCGGAAAACAAATATTTTATCATAACAGCTTTTTATATTTGTGAATTTTTTTTACATTATTCTAATTATTTTATGGTCAGCATGGTCATTACTCTAACCATATTGCTTTTAAAAATACTTTAGTGGGGAAAGTTTCTGCAGAAAAACTCTTTTTGCATTTGACAAACAGCTTTTGTAACCAAAACATTATTTTTTGCTGAGAAATAAGGCAAGTTATTTTTATGTATTTTTATGATTGAAACACTTAAAGAAATATTATTGTGTGAGGCTGTCATCAGTCACAAATGGCATAAAACTATCCATTTCCTACTATTAAGATTTTACTGTTAATCTCAAAAGCTACAGATACATACCAGTTTCCGAAACAGCAGGCTGCCAGAGCGTGTATAGTTGACCAAAATGGAGTCTAGCTGGGCCTTTGAGATAAACACATCAAAATCCTCCGCAAGGCGAATGTCAGACTGTGATGGAGTCAAGAACAAAATGTAAATGCATTAAATATAGCCGTAACTGAAATACGACGGAAATATCTTAACAAGAACATGAGGATGGTATTGCCAAATCAACAAGTACCCTCATGGTGTTCAACAAAAGAAAACAGTACAGTGAATTTTCTTTACCTGTAGCTTATAAACAGCTTTAAAAAATTAGGCTTTAATGTTAGGCTGCCTGAAATAAAGGACAGCAACAAATTTAGAACAATTAACTCAGACGATCACCTGTTTCTAAGCACAAGTATTACCTCTAATGCCTGATGTCCACCCAGGGCATTCAGAAGAGGACTGTGTGTGCCAGAATCTGCTATCTGATCATTCCTAGATGGCGGCTCAGAAACATCACAGGAGATCAAAGATGAGTCAAGTTTCTCGCTTTCCTTTTTCTTTGCAGCTTCTGGGGGTGAAGTTTTCAGAGTTGAACCCCTTGGAGAAAAAGGAGCTGTTCTTCCGGTGCCACAGAGACTCAGTGGAGCCACCTTATAAACTGGTCTTCTCTTCTGAGAGACGCGGAGCGGAGAAGAACTCAGGCTGATGTGAGGCTGGCATGACGATTTAGCGTGTTCCCTCCTTTCACATGTACCTTAAAACAAAAATAGCACATTATGTTTTCATTGTCTCGGTTTTCTATTTCAGTGATATGCGCATGTTCTGCTGACCTTTCTGAGTCTGCATCAGCCTCCTCATCGCACGCAGCTCGTGCAATATCGCCTGCAGGGTGCCTTTACAGTTACACATGCAGCAGGAGATTTCTGGCACAGCAGGACGGAGCTCATCTGGTGGAAAGTCAGGAGAGCTCACATTTTTAATTTTCTCTTACTTACATACTTTCACAAATGATGTTTCTATACATTTGTAACTAAACATTTAAAAGGGAATAAGTTGCATTTCTGCAAGATCTTGAAGTCTCTGTTTCTTTTGCATTGCTTTAAAAGACTCTACATGCCTCTTTAACTTTTCTACTTTTGTCATATCACAATCACAGAATTGGAATTTGAAAGTAGTGCATAATTGTGAGGTGAAAGGTAGATACATAATGTAAAAAATAATTTTATTATGGTGTTAGTGCACACCACTTTCTAATGCCACCCAAGTCAACTATCTACACAATCCATATCAAATACCACCACTTCGTGGCATAGCTTATATTTTTAATAAATTAAGCGAATGAATAATTTGGAGTGTGTTTGTGGTCAGATACCCCTAAATAAAATACATGGTCTACAATTACCTCCAGAAATCCCCTAAATACTACACAGAGTTAATATGACCATAATTTTTTGGTTTATTGTCAGAAAGGCATTTTAAAAATATACAGAAACTATTGCAGCAACAGCTGGTGCTAATATAGAGTCAGGTCAGTTTATAAAGTTTTATCTATATATAAAAAGAAAATTTATTTGAAGCCTATTTTCTTTCCACTTCACTCTTATGAGTTATGTAGTAATATTCTGTCAACAAATACCAATATGATGCATTTTTTAAGTTTTATTGAGATGATGAATGTAAAAAAGTTAAAGGGGTTTGGATGCTTATTTTTTTAAAGCATCACATGTTCATAGATTTTTTTATTTCTCTTTAGAAATCGCCTGATACCAAACCTTTTGTTTCACTGGGTTTCATGAAATCCTTTGTGGTGTTGACAGTCCTGGAGTGGGTACTGTAATGGCTGCAGGCTTGACCATTAGGGATTGACGTTGATTCGGATGAGGGTGGAGGCTCTGGCTCTCCTGGAGAGCTCCAGCTTTGGCACTGGCGGTCTTCTGACACAGCAGGTAAAATTGGAGGTATGTGCACACAGTTCAGTTGGCGATCCTGGCGCTCGTTTTTTGAGCTGTTCTGCTCGACACCCGAACGCTGATAGACTCTGCCAGTCTTGTCACCCAGGAGCCTCATCATTCCAGTGATTTGTTTCTTGATTTCCGTGCTCTCGTCGCCCATCCAAACTACATAAAGATTATATGAAGGTGAATATAGTTCGTGGCACCTGCCACAGCAAGGTTCAATTTCACACGAATGTTCAACTTCAAAAATCTACACTGTTACATAATCTGTTTTGTCCTGTTTATTTCGATGAGATAATGGATTCTTCATTGCAAAACATTCTCCAAGTTTGGGTTTAATATTTTCACAAATCATGGAACGACAAAACACTGAGATAAAGGGTAATTTAACTTTTTTTTTATTGAGGAAACTCTCTGATTGTCACATACTTAATAGAGATCCTTGAAAAATGTGATTTTTGATCATATTCTAAAAAGTAAAAAATCCAGTTCTTTGCTTAGCATTTCAACTGAAACATAACTTTTACTCCAATTTAACTCAGTTAAAGGTTCTAAAGGCTAAAAATATAAATGTACCAATCAGGATTTTTCTGATAGATGCCAATTCCTTTTTTTTTTCTTTTTATTTATTTTTGTTTTTATGCATGATATAATAGAAAGAAAAAAAACAGGTAAGTAAAAAAATTAACTGAACATAAGTTGATTTATTGGGGCATAAAAGCAGCAAGATGGAGCAGTGTCACAAGACAATTTTCAGACTTGATATGCCATCAAATAAATATAGTATCTTATTACATATTGCCCATTTCTTTATATTTTTTATTCTCCCTTTTTGTTTTTTCATATTTAAATGATGCAATCACATTTCATACATTTTAGGCTTTCCAAGTCCCGCACAATCTGAAAACATCTTTGAATTGATCCGAACCTTGAGGCACAGCAGCATCCTTACTCTGACCATTGGCATCTCTGCAGCTGGAATTTACCCCATATAAAGAGCCGAAATCTAGATATGACAGGAAAGAGTGTTGGTAAAAAAATAAATAAATAATAATAATAATAATAATAATAATATAAAATAAAACATGTTAGATAAAGACGTAGGAAAATATGTGACTGTAGCTTAATTGAGTGGACGAAGCTTTGCAGATTGATGGAGTGTGAGGAGCAGAACACTGCCTCCTCCCATCCCATGCAGGAACCACCACCTGTGGGTGGCATAAAAGTAGTTCTCCATCAAGGTGTTCTGGAACTTCCATCCTCAGCAAACAAACAAAAAATATATATATAAAATAAAAAAAGTGAGCAATTTCGGCTGTATCAGATTACTAATGCGCAACAGATGATCACATAATTTTTTGCTCTGTCAAGGTAATGGCTAATGATTTATTTGAAGGAAGAGCAATGTCACATCGCCTTCTCCCTTTTTCATTGTTTTTGGCTTCTGCTTTCATGGTTGCATCTTCACGGTCAGGTGTGTGTAAAAATCGATCGACAGATCTGCTGCAGTGTCGTGGCCATCGCTTTTGTCTGCGGATGGTCTGTGCCTGGCACCCGGCGCCAGACAAGCAGCCAGACACACAGTGCAGGAGCGCGTCTCGCAGCCTACCTTCATCCGTGACCAGTTTGAAGCTTTGCGACTTTCTCCTCCTCTTCCTCTCCCCAAACTCCATCTTCAAGAGAATAATTCAGAAAGTCGAGCGATGGGAAAGAAAAATCCCTCACCACAAAGCTAAATCAATCCCTCCAGCCTGCAGGACGCACTCAGCGCAAAAAAAAAAAAAAAAAAAAAAAAAAAAATCACTATCCGTTTGCTTTATTAATCAATTATTTTAATCCCCAGGCTGTGCTTCGGATCTTGACGTCGGATGATTCTCGTCGCTTTGGACTTAAATTTGCCCCGAAAACGCTGCTGCTGAACGAGATCTCCTTTCCCAGCATGACGCTGCTCTTTCCCTTTCGCCATGTAAATACATTAATGATTTTAATATTAAAAATTCGTCTCATATCCCTGTGCGCCACCTGATGGTATGTTTCATTTAGAAGGTCGAGTGACACATTTTCCAGTGTGCAGAGTGCAGATTGGACTTTGAACCAAAATAAAGCTCTGTCAAACAGATAAATGGATAAATAAATAAATAAATAAATAAATAAATGTTATTATTATTATTATTATTATTATTATTATTATTATTATTATTATTATTATTATTATTACTATTTCATCTGAATATTATATTTTCACTTTCACTTTTAAATGTCGATTTATCAACACTTTATTCTGTTCTATATCTTAGGAAAGCAAAATGTTCTAATTAATTAAGTTGTTAAAAATTTATAGTTGCAAACAGCATCTGTAAAACGACTATTAATGTGGCAGTATTCTTTGATATATATATTTTTTTCACCAGAAATGTGAAAGATTAAGTGTGATTAATGTTACTTAATAACCTTTTTAAGTTGCGTCACTATAGGATACAGGGTTGTTGTTGTTTTCCTTGTAATCATCTGGAGAGGATATTACTATAAAATTTAGGTTCATCGTTCCCCGTACTGAGTTTTTTTTTTTTTTTTCTTAATCTAATAACACATCTGGCACAATTTATCTTGTTTTTCAATGCTTTAACAAATTTGGTCTTGCTTAAATTCTATGTAAATAATTATAATCTTCTACTTTACAGTGCCTTGTATTAGTATTCTTGTCACAATCTGTCAAACTTCAACCTAAAACTTTAATTTAATGCAACAGTTAGATATCAAATGAAGCAACTGTGAAGTTAGAATAATAGTCAAGTTATATGTTAAGAAAATCTGTCTATATTCTGAAGAAGTCTTGATATTTTTGTGGTACTCGACTGAAGGTGAGGCAGTTTAGGAAAAGTAATAGAATAAAGAAAGAACATGAGACCATGTCAAGGATGAAATTTGGTTCCCCACACACTTAAAATGTTCAACAAACATGTACAGATTAGTGTGAGTTTGTACAGCGTGTATTGTTACATATGTATATATTAGATATACACATAGTAGAGGAATATAAGTTACAAATGTTGTTGAGAATATGAGTAAATGTTAAATTCTTTATTATGATAGAAAATAGTTTCATCAACACTCCATTTCAGAAGGTGGCGGTAATGCGCCTAAAACCTGCTTGCCAACCGCTGCGAAGCTGGAAGAAGAAGAAGAAACGGAAGAAGAAGACGAAGAACATCAAAAAAGAAGCAGCTCTCCATAAAAACAAAATGGATATACTAAAAGCCGAAATAGCAAGAAAGAGGAAACTTCTGGAGGAAAAACAGCTTGTTGATGTGAGTATTAGGAGATATTTCTATTTTCTAAGTTTAGTTTAATATTGGCCTAGCGTTTGTTAGCTAGTGCTAATTAAGCTAGCTTCTTTCCAGAAAGGTCGTGTTTTTATGTCAGATTCATCGTTACAAACCCACCAGCACTGCAATAAGTATCTTACATGTTTAAAAAAAAAAACATCCAAACGCCATACGCTTTAACATAAACCTGTTTTAGAGTTTTTACTTATACCAAAATATAATTAGCATTGTTTTGTGACTGTGACATAATTTTATCAGAACTACATACGGTACCATGTTAGCTTAGGCTTTATTTGTGTCATGATTATCAAAATTCTCTACTTTGCTGCAATTGCAAATAATATTTATGACTGTATGTAAAGAAATACAATCATGGGTGTTATTATCTTTAGTTAGTGTGTCATTCAGTCAAATATTTAACATGAATCAAGTTTCTTAATCTTAATTTTTCAATTTTGTGTTGTCAAACTGAGTATAACTGTTTCACTTTTAGGCGAACAAAAAAGTGAGTTTGAGAAATATTCTAATCATATTCAATGAGCCGAAAATGTCACTATTATAATCTCACTCTACTGTCTTGTTTTTGTTATTCTAAGCATAACCTGTGAACCTATAAAGTTCTGCAATGGCGACATTTTCTATTTATTTTCTAATTGCATACTATGAATGTAAATAAAAACAAAAAGATTAGTTGAGTTGTCTTGACTCTGTAGGGTTACCCTGTGATGAGTGTTTTCATTTACATCTATATGGGACATTAGTCCTTTAAATCCTTTAATTATTGATCTTTTTCCAGGAATCCAAAAAATGCTTTAAAAGGGCTGATCTTGTACGGAAGGAAAAAGAGGAGTACTTTAAGAGATGTGGATACAAGGTAAACATTTTAGCATATTTTTTGACTGTGTTTACTCTCACATGCTGACACATCCGAGTAATTTTATCAATTTTGTCTTGAGCATTTCTGTAAAATTCTGCATTACTTAGTGGAAATATTTATACTTGTAAACAGTGCTGCTATCTCACCAGGTCCCTCTTGAAAAAGAGACTGTAGCTCTCAATGAGGTTTTTTTTTATCCAGTTAAATAAAGGTTATTATTATTATTATTATTATTATTATTATTATTATTATTATTATTATTATTATTATTATTACATTCTCTAGAAAACAAACTAAGGCCACGAACTTCTGTTCAGGTCTGCATTAGTGTTGTGTTCACTGTGTCGTTTTTCTGCAACCTACCTCTGCTGCCTGCACCTGTAGGTTCAGACAGAAACTCCTAAGAGCCAGGTATGGGATTGCTCAGTGAAAGTAGCAAACAGGATGCATGATGAAAGGATAAAAATGGTGTCCCAAAAGCTTCCTCTTCCTTGGCATCTTCTCTGGTTACTGAGGATTAAAAGAAACTGTAAATTAGTAATTGTTTTCTGGATGTTTTAACGATTAACAATTTTTTTTGTCTAAAATTGTTAAAGTTACAAAACTATTTGTTAGAAAGTAAGTAGATAAGGGAAGGAAGAAACGGAGCTTAGATGGGACACAGCCTGATTTTGTATTTTAATATTGAATATTGGTTAAAAACAAACAGTTATCTGGTCAAGCTTTGCTTTTATTATGTAATTTATTTTAAAAAGATTAAATTTTAGACCAACTACAAGTGGCCTTAAGAATTATTTGTTATTTTTGTAATCCCATCAAAATTGTTTCCCCAGAATTCAAAACACAAAACTCATTGCTTTCTTGATGTAACAATAAATTATGTTTAGTTTGTATTTTCTTGGGAAACATCCTCTTACCATTTTATAGTTGGTCTTTTAGACTGTGCACCTGAAACCACAATCTGAAAGGCTGCAATGCATGTGCGTATTAATGCATGATTTTATATCTTTTTTTAGTTTTCATTTTCCCACTTGACATTAAATTTACTTTAGTTTCAATTTGGCTTTTGAATGTGCAAACAATGTTTTAATCTGTCATAGTGGAAGTCTTTAAATATTTGATAAACAATCCATTGCAAATGTTTTCATATCCCCTGAGGTTTTTCACATCATATAAACAACAAATTTCAATGTGTTTTTCTTTAATTTTATGTGAAACACCAATAAAATGTAGAGCAAACAGAAAGGGAAATGTTCATAAATAAAAATCTGAAAAGTTCACCATGCATTTCTTTTCTATGAACATTAATTTTTGCCAGTTTCCACAGACTGTTGGATGGATATTTGTACCATGACTGATCCGTTCTGATGCATTCATATCTTTTGATATGTCATTGCACAGCTTTATGTTTAGGTTCCTTGTCCTGGAGGTCAAATCTCCTCCATAGTCTTAAATCTTTTGTGTTTTATTTCTGTTCTGCTTGCCAGTGGAAGAAGAATATTTCCAAAGCATCATGCTGCCACTTTCATGTTTCCCCATGGGAACAGCATGTTCTGTGGGGTGTGTAATGCTCTCCTATGTTTTAATGTAGATTAAAAGATACATGTTGCCTCAAGGCTGCTTATTTGATCAACAAAGTGAGCAAAAAAAAAAAAAAAAAAAAAAAACTTAAAATTTTGTAAACTGCACATAATTTTTCTTTCTCTTCACAAGTATATATTGTGGTGTTCTGACATATAAAATATCACTAGATTACATTGAAGTTTGCAAATGTAATGTGAAAAATGTGAAAAGCCCAAGGACAACTCTGCGATGCGTTCTGCTGAACTGTTGTAGTTGTGTGAGTTTAATATGCTGAAGTGAATCTGAATTAATCGAGGACAGAGACTTCATTTGAGCTGACATGAAAATAACACTTTTTGCACATATTTGTTAATCAATTTTTTAAATTTATTTATTGTTTTGCATTTGTTGCAAGAGAACAATCTTTCCCTATGATGAATTTATCAGTGTTACCCAGCATGATTGAGTAATGAACACATTTCTCTTCATCCTTGCTGTCCTGAAGCTTGATAAAGCAGAAGAAAATGAGCCTTCCACTTCAGCTAATCCAGTGTTGGAGCTTGAATTGACAGAGGAGAAGCTGCCAATGACTCTGTCACGACAGGAGGTCAGTCAGTCAGAGTATAGCATAATAACCTGCCTTTCAGTACTCTTCCCTTTGCATGTTGCAGTTAAAATTTTGGCGGTTGCTGTATTTGTGCAGGTAATTCGACGACTTCGGGAGCGAGGAGAACCAATCCGATTGTTTGGAGAATCTGATTATGACGCTTTTCAGAGACTCCGGAAAATTGAGATCTTAACCCCAGAAGTAAACAAGGTAAAATATTTAGGAAACTGAAGCAGCACCACTATTGTTCTAAAGCTCTGGAAAGCTCCAAAATAACCCCATTCTTTGCTGAGTATTGCATTTATTTTAGATTTGTTCACCACTCTTGATATGTT